TGCCGAGCGCAGCCTGAGGTCCAGCCTGAGGTCCAGCCTGCAGCGGCCGCTCTACGCAGTCCTGGCCTGAGTGGGTAGAGCTGAGGGCCGGGGTGGGAGCCAGTCCCAGAGGGCCATGTAGGGGCCCCCGAGGACGCACCCCGCCACACCCACGCCCCCCGCCTCTGCAGTTCTCCACCAGCCTGGGCTTCTGGGTGAGGTGCCCTTTCGAACAGCTGCGTTTCCCAGGTGCGTTGCCGTGGGGCCGGAGGCCGGAGGCCGGCCGTGGCCTTCGCAGAGTGGATGCAGCGAATGGCGGGGACAGGGGACAGGGTGCTGGGTCAGCGGGTGGAGGAGGGGCGGGTGGGAGCCGGGCCTCATCCCACCACCCCCACAGCCTGGAAGATGACTGTCCAGCCGGCACCCTCTCGGGGCCACTTCCGGGTCACCTTCTTCTCGCCCAGCCCCGCCCACTTCCAGGTGCGCCTGTGCCACCCAAAGAAGATATGGCCCCCGGCCTGCCACCGAACACTCCAGGCCACTGCCCTCCCTCCAGCCTCAGTGAGCCGGGTGCGTGGGCTGTCCTGGAGAGGGTGGCTGACCCCCTCACTACCCTGCGGTCCTCTGTACCTCCCACGGGCCCTGAGCAGCCCTCGGAGGCTCAGAGAACTGATGCCTGGCCCCAGGCACACGCGTGCGTGAGGGCCAGGGCCTCCTGTGACCGCCCCCTCCCCCACCAGGGCAACCTCACAGCAGACCCCGCAGCTGCTTTTGTGGACGTTCCCAGGGACGAGGCCTGTGAGCCTGACACCTGCATCCAGGTGGTGGTGCTGCCCCGCCCAGACCCCGCCCCCGCCCCCGCCCCCCAGACCTTGGTCCGCCCTATGCTCAAGTCGTCAGCGACACGGAGCTCCCTTCTCCCCGGGGCCCTGCCTCGCCCTGGGGCCCTAGCCCAGCAGCCTCTCCAGGCGTCCCCCTGGGAGACTCGGGCTGCAGGGCGGAGCTGCAGCCCACCCTGACCCCACCAACCCATGTCTCCAGGGCTGGAGGACTGATGGGCACTTCTCCGCTCCGCAGCAGCTGTGTGACCTTCCGTGTGGTGAGTGACAGAGCCGGGCCTCAGGGCAGATGAGTGCCAGCAGGGGGAGCCCTCGGGGCTGCAGGAGGCCAAGGGCTGGCCCCTGACCTCTGCTGCGAGCCCGGCCAGGTGTCGCTGCCTCCCACTGTCGGGGGTGTCGTGTACACTGCACAGGACGTGGAGTCGCTAGGGGCACAGGGACGGCCCCTCGGCGTCAGGCCAGGCGGAGCCCGGGCCCTCCCCAGTCTCACTGTGACTGCCGCTGCCCTGACCAACGCTCTGGTTCCCCCTGTGCAGGACTCGGGGTGCCCCCTGGCCCACCTGCGCCCACCCGGTCTCTGGGGCCCAGACTCTGGGGACCTCGGGCTTGGCAGGAACCATAGGTAACCTTGCAGGTCCTGAGTTAGCCCGGGAGGGCGGCCTCTGCCCAGGGCCCCGGGGGGCACTGGGGTGGGAGTGGAGGGCAGGCACCCTGACCCGCAAGCGCCAAAGCTTTCCTGCCTGCCGGAGCCCAGGAGCCTGGGAGGCGGGGGACGGGGGGCTGGGAGGCGGGGCCCCTGACCTCTCCTGCTGCTGCCCCCCACCCCCAAGGGGTCTCAGAATGGCCTCTGAGCTCAGCCAAGTCACAGCCGTCCAGGCCAGCCCCGGGGCCTGCAGAGGGTCACTCAGCCCTTCGTCCTCAGCCTCCCCCCACCCCCAGCGGAGCTCTGCAGCCAGGTCACCTCTAGCAGATGACAGGCCAAGGCAGATGGTCACGTTGGTCCAGGTAGACTCCCCTGGAGACAGGACAGGGCTGCTGGCTCTCCAGGACGGGGCAGCCCAGAGAGGACCTGCCCGTGCACCCCGAGCTTTGGGGCCTGCAGCTCCCCTGCTTCCTCTGGTCACACAGTGGGGGCGGGCTGAGGGACGGTTTGCCCCCAGACAGTGTTGGCACTTGGTGGACTGAGCCGGCCCCCCATTTCTGTCTCCCCAGCTGCCACCCAGGGAACAGCAGACTGAGACAAGGACAAGCAAGTGCCAGGGCGGACCGCTGGGTCGCCGTGGGGGACACCCTCCGGATACCCCGAGCCTTGACGGAAGTCGGGCTCGGGGAGGGGAGGGTGGCCTCACCTGACCTCAGGCTGTGGGGCCCAGGCACCTCCCATGTCGCCAGAGGCCTACAGCTGGGCTGGGCCTTCGGCCCCTTCCTGAAGCCCTGGGCGGGGCAGGCAGATGCCCTGTCTCCGCCTGGTCCAGCTCCCTCTGCACCCCCTGGCTCTCTCTCCACTGTCCCCCAGAGACTCTGCTAAGAACTGGGCTGCTGCGTCCCCCAGAGCACACGCCCTGCTCCACGCACTCCCCAGGCCCCGCGGCCCAGCCGGTGTGGTAGGACTGGCCACCCCCACAGACGTCCCATTCAGACTTGTCACACTCACTGTGGGCCACCACGCGTCGTCTGTGCTCAAGGACCACAGAGGGACCCTTGGCCTAACGCGTGACTCCCGCGCCCCAGCCCAGGGCTCCCCAGCAGTGGGGCTCTGGGTCCGCCCTCACAGAACTGTCACGCCAGCTCACGAGGACCCTGAGCTGCCATCGGAGTCTGGGTGTCGTCACCACATGACCAAGGGCCACACGGGGACAGGCGCCCGGCCTGGCGCCTGGGCGGTCCGTCCTCCGTCCTCTGCGAATGCGCTGCTCACCTCGCCCGGCTCCGCTGTCGCTCGTTTCTGCCACCTCGGGCCCCTGGGCTTCGGTCTCCCTCAGCAGGGGCTGCTGCCCCAGCTGGCCAGGGAGCGGCGAAGCCAGCACGGCCCCTCTGCTCAGTGGACACCTGTCCACCTGCTCGCCTCTTTCCTTAAGGACAGAGATGGGGTCTGTAAGGCAAGGTAGCCCCTCGGGGCAAGGTGGGGGAGGATGAGGGGCCCAGGTGTACCCGTTAAAATGGGGCCAAGGTGGTGGCTGCCGCCAGGGGGCAGAACGGAACTGCGGCGGTGGATGGAGCCGGCCCGACCCCGCTGCACGGGGCCGCAAGCTGCAGGCGAGGACACCCCAGGCTGGGGACGCCACACCCCACGGCCGCCCTTAATGTGCGTGGGAGGGAGAGGGCGCTGGGCTTCCCCAGCCCCCGATGAGCCGATGAGCGATGAGCGATGGAGGTGCCCGCCCTTCCTGGTAGCCCCGCCCTCCCAGCACCCGCTGCGGGGGATGGGGCGGTGGAGAGGCCCCGGGAGCCCCCACCCCACCCTGGTCAGGAGTGCGGGCGACTGCGCCTCACGCCAGTGTCCGCATCGGGGCGCGGGGTGGGGTGAGGGACCAGAGTCCTGGCTCTGGCTGTGCCATCCCCGCCCCTAGCCCAGACCATCCAGGCCCCCCACCCCCCAGGCCCTGACCCGCGGCACCTCGAGAATCCCCGCCCACCTGGAGGTGGAGCTGCGAGGGTCGCGGGGGTTGAGCGGGGACAGCCTCCCTCAAGACTCCCCGCGGCCCCGGCCTTCCGCCGGTGGGGGAAACTGAGGCCCAAACGGAGCCCAGGGACATTCAGGGCTATGGGGAACCAGGCGGGCGAGGGCATGCTCACCACTGCGCTGCCCGGCGGCCCGCGTGTGTGCTGTCACCGAGTGGCGATGGTGCTCAGTGCCCGGTCTGAGCTGGACCCGCCATCCCACCTCTACATTCAGGTCTGGGGCCACGCCCAGAGCCCTAGCCTGACCGGCCACTGCCTTGGCCAGTAACACCCCTGCCCCAGCTGGAAACCCCACTCCGCCCCAGGCTGGCGGCCCAGAAGAGTGCTGACGAATGGGGCTCCGGAAGTGGGGAGGACCCACAGGAAGGTGGGAGGGTCACCCACGCCAGGGTTCCCGCTCGAACCAGATGAGCCCCTGGACATCTGTGCCCATTCACGCATTCCTCAAGCAGGTGCTGAGCGCCCACTGGGTGCCGCACCGACCCAGCACCAGGACCAAGCAACGTGACAGACCCGCCCCCTGCAGCTGGGACCACCCCGGGGTCGCCTTGGACCGGGGGCTTTGGGACTCTCAGCACTAAAGCCCAAGCACAGTCACCCACCTGGGGCCGACCTCTGCGTGGGGAGACAGACCACAAACAGGCTAAATGCGTGAATTCTGTGGAGTGCCCCGTGCCAGTGTGAGCTCGGGAAGGGAAAGCAAACAGGAAGTGTGGGTGCCATGTAGAACAGGGCAGTCCCCAAACGTGAGCAGAGACTGCGGAGGGGAGGGGCACAAGCCACCTGGTTCTAACAGGATCCATCAGGTGAGAGGTGAGGTGTGGCGGGCAGGTGGGGCCGTGGGGCGTCCTGGCATGGGTCGTAAAACGGGACAGCGTTTTGGCCTCGGCGACTGGAGGGTGGAGCTCCGGGGGTAAGATGAGCGCAGCAGCAGGAGGCTGAGCTGCCTGTGAGACTGTCACTCACTCACTCATTCATTCATTCATTCTCCAGCACTCACGTACTGCCTGCTGTATATCCACCCCCTCAGTGAACAAAGCAGACACAGATCCCTGCCCTAGGCAGAAGAGAGAAGCATAAACAAACCAAAAAAAAAGTGAACAAGGACATAAGGGCAATTGAGGGAGGAAAAGCAGAGCAGGATAGAGAGGGAGGCGGTCGTGGGGGCCGAGTGCAGGGCACGACTCGTGCAAAGACATGAAGATGAAGGAGTCGGGGACACCACCGAGCGTCAGCTCAGCAAGTCCTCCCACAAAGGCACAGAAGAATTAAGCAATTTCGTTACTGAATAAGCATTAAGAGGCTGCAAAGACGGAAGTCTCAGCCTTCCCTATGAGCCAGGCAGGTGCAACTGAGTCCACATGTGATCTCAAAGGGGTGACACGTCCTCGGGCGCGCTCGGCACGGAGCCCGTTCTGCGTGATAACAATACAGCCACGCCTGCTCTGTGTGCTCATTTGCACGGGGTGACTGATTCCATCCGCTTACTTTACCGCCTGTGTCTCTGTACCCAAAGCGAGTCTCTTCCACACTCGCATGTTTTCCACGCAGTCAGCCAATCTCTTGCTTCCTTTCAATCAGAGTTTTCATCCATTTACGTTTGAAGTGATTACTGAAAATAAAGGATTTACTTCTACCATTCAGTCATTTCTTCACTGTATGTCTTACACGGTTTTTGTTCCTTAATTCCTCCATTACTGCCTTTTATGGTGTTCAGTTTTTTTTTTTTTTGTAGTGTGCCGTTTTGATTTACTTCTTTTCTCTTCTGTGTATTTTCTTAGTGATTTCCTTGAGTGTTACAGTTAAAATCTTAAAACAGCCTAGTTTGTCTTTCTTCACGTGGCTTTGAGTTTCTACTGTCCTTCCGTTTCAGCCTGAAGGACCGACTCTCTTGAGCATTTCCTGTAGGTCAGGTCTACTAGCAATGAGCTCCCTGACCTTTTATTTATCTGGAAATATCTTACTTTCTCCATTTTTGAAAGGTAATTTCACTAGCTGTAGAATTCTTGATTGACAGGTGTTTTTTTTTTTCCTTTCAGCATCTTTAAATATGTTGTCCCACTGCCTTCTGTTCCAAGGCTTCTAAGGCGAAATCTGCTGGACATTTATTGAGGCTCCCTCGTGTGTGACAAGTCATTTCTCCCTTATGGCTGTCAAGATTCTCTCTGACTTTGGCTTTTGACAATTTGACTATAATGTGCTTGGTGCAGATTTCTTTTACTTTATCCTGTGTGGAGTTTATTGAGAGTCTGGATATGTGGATTCACGTCATTCATCAAATTCGGGGGGTTCGGGGCTATTTATTATGGCATACGATATTTTTCTGCCACTTTCTCTTCCCGGGCCCCCGCGGCCTGCGTGCTGCTGTTCCTGATGGCATCCCATGGGCCCCTCGCTCTTCCATGCCCCTTCATTCCGTTTAGTTTCCGCTCCTCAAACAAGGTAATTTCAAAAGCCTTGTCTTCAAGTTTGCAGGTGTTTTCTCTGCACGATCAAAT